TATACTATATTATATTATATAATAATTATAATATTATAATAAATAATATTAAAATTTAATATATTAAAATTAATTTTAATAATATTGAATATACTATACTATAATATGTATATATAATATAATATTAAATATTATTTATTAATATATATTATAATTTATGTATCGTTAAAAAAAATAAAACCTAAATAATAAAAATTAGGATTATTCTAAAAAAGAAAATCTAAAAATTGATGAAAAACAAAAACTGAATGAAATTACATCTTTAAGATTTCATCGTCAGCAAGAACACCTTTAACCTTAGGCATAGCAGAAAGAACAGCAGATGAACAAAATCATCTTCTCGAAGGAGATCACTTGTCCAATCTCATCTGGTGCGTTCCTACGCGATCATAGAAAAGTCTAGCAGCTCTCGAAACGATCGCATAGAAATGGGGTATCGAATCGTTGGGGTGGATTTCTCGATTACCCGAAGTCACTGACTTTTATTGCTACTCCAAGTCTACCACTCGAATGGAACCCGACGTCTTCCTCTTCCTTTTCCCTTTCTTAAACCAAACCCACCTTCCTCAACCTCCCAACCCCTCTCTTCTCATCTTCTATTTCTTCTTCTTCTTCTTATTCTCTTTTTATTCTCCTTCTTCTATCATTCCTTTTCTCTTGGAACGCGACATACTACTCCTGGGTCAGTCACTTCGTCGTCCCTTGCCCTAAATCACCGCGTAGTGACTTTTTTTATGGCACCTATGTCGCTTTAGAAATTCGACCGTGGTAGGAATAAAGCCTTGGTGAATATTGCTCGGTGAGAATATCGCTTGGGATGAATCTTAACGTCTTCATCGTTTCAAAATAAGAAAAGAATTTTAACAAGTATTGAGGTTAGGTCACACGTGTCACTTATATATCATCCAGAAATATCAACTTGTCAATAATTCCAGAAATTATTTCCTCATTGAGCCAAACAATCTACGAAACAACACAGATGTTATTTTATTTTGTACTATTTCCTGCTTATAAGTCCTAATATGAAATAATAAAAAAAAAATGAAACAATAGTATTGGGTTGTTCGGAAAGTAATTTCGTTTTTTCCTGACACAATATTGGCATTAATTGATACAAACCGGCAAATAACAAAAACACGTGAAATCAGAGTGAGATGTTAAATTTATCAAATTCAACTGTTTATGCCCACTTGAAAGGACTAGGTTTAACTCTTCGAAGTAAAAATTATCTTCATTTTCACAAAAGAAAAACAAAATTACTTTCTGAACAACCCAATAAAACATTAAGATAACAGTAAAAATTATTATAAAGGTTAATGTTGAATAACAGGATTAAAGTAATAGGACCGACCTTAATTTTAAATCATAATTTGTAATTAATAAAAGAAAGAAAAAAAGAATGAGGTCACAGGAGTTGGCAAAGCAGGGTGACTTAAATTAAACAAAGGATGAACATTACACGGACGATTTCATTTTAAATTTCGGAAAAGAAGTTTTCTAGAGCAGACGGGAGTGTGACATGGCAAAGCGTTATACACTGCCCTCGGAGCATTGTCGGCAGTATAATGTCTTCCTTCCCGCGTTCGTCCTCGTCGTCCACAGCAGCAGCAGCAGTCCGTACATTCCCGAGAGGGTCCTACATCCAGCAGGATGATAAATAAATTAGCCACGGAAATGTTGCAAGTTATTACAGGCTAGACCATATATATATATATATGTATGTATATATGTAAAATACATACATAGATACATATATACAACGTACGAGCTCACACTGTCTATTCGGAAAATAGAGAAACGTTCATGTCACTTAAAGTTTACTTCTACCATGGTTCCTCGCCTTGAAAAGCTCGTTACCTAATTTCTCAAGTCTGTGTCAAAAAAAAAAATAGAAAAAACAAAGCGAGAACAAAAACAAAACAAAAAAATTCTTCCATAAAAAAGTAAAAAGAATAAATGGAAGAGAAAAGAAAATTCTGTTGCATCGTACTGCGCTTCATTAGCGACGGTAAAAAGCTTCAGTGAGTTCTTCCAGTATAAAAAGAAACGTTATAACGAAGGAACGTGAAATTATATTGTTATCCAAGAAAAAGACAAACTTTTCTTTCAAGCATCTTACTTTTCTTACGACTTATATATATATATATATATTTTTTTTTTTTTTTTAGTTTTTCTTTTAACACTTTTTTCTCTCAACATTTTTTAAATTAATAATAAAAATTATTGTCAATGTCTGGACGATAAACGAATTCCTTTAAATGTGTTTTGACTACTATAGATATCAACTATTGACTAGAGCAGTTACTATCTTGATACGTAGTTTCTTTTTCAATCGATCGGTGACGCTGCTGTAGCCTACCGCGAAATAACACCATAACAGGATACCAACTATCGACGTTTCTAACTTCTAATTTAATTGATCGATCTCTACCATATAGATCTTTTACATATATATAGTAGTAGTAGTAATATATATATATATATATATATATATATATAGTATTGGTAAATGGTAAAACTCACACTGATAAAGTAAAAGTACAGAGAAAGTTACTTTACCCATTGAGCACAAAGTATAGTGTCCGCAAGCGGTTAAATATGAAACTGAATCATACGACATGCTATAAATGCAAATAAGATTAGAGAAATAAATATAGAAATATTATAAAATTATAAAATTTATTGCAATATATTTTAGAATAATTATAATTAATATATTATACTTTTAAAAATATTTTTAATTATACATTTCTCAATGCTTACCTTGATTGAAAGAATTGTTATGCGCATGCGCATAACTAACAAACCTATCTGCCAGAAAGAGAAAATATTGTCTACAGTATCATGTTTTCGATCTTTTCTTGACTCAACTAATATATATATATATACAGTACTACTAACACGTATAATTTTTTATGTGTATACACACACACACACACACATTTTATTTATATATTTACCATGCGTTATCAGAGTTTAATAAATTATTTGCTTATTATTTTCTTGAATCTTTATGATTTTTGTATGCACTATCATATAACAAAATTAGCAATTTAAAAGATTTTACATTACTCTAACAACATCTGAATTTTAAATTTTATCCACACACAATATCGATAAATGATAGTATTTAAAGGTAACGGGTTAGATAGACTGTATAAAGATACAAGTAGTATAGGAATTAGTAGATTATTAGATTATTGGATTATTATTAGATCAAATTGTTGTATGTGGAGTAAATTGGAGATTGGATTATGGTAAAAATTAATTGCTTTGTGCAAACGTGTATTGGAAATTATAATCACACTTAAAATTGTATATTAAAACAAATATATTATTATATCACAATTACATATAATTAATTAAAAATAAATGTTGTAATAGATACACTGAGATTTTATTAATATATTTAAGTACTTTGTATGCAACCATGATTGTTTATTAAAATATAAATTTAAAAAATATAGAAATACGAATATTACAATAAATACTCAATTAAATTTTATTAATTGTTAATATAAAATATATATATTATTTCTCATTTATTTATGTTTGACAATGATACAAGGGTAAATAGATAATATGAAAGGTTATCTTGAGACCTTTTTAAGACTTCTTCAAATCTATCATCCTCTTATAGCATTTCTTTACTAGGTAAGCAAGGTTTATTAAGTAATGTGACGTAATGAGTGCGTTCCTACACGCATACGTAAGCACGTACTCGAGCGTGCCACACATACTATCGAATATATGTGTTCCTGCGTTTCTTGCAGATGTGACACACCATGGTTTACGTCATATTTCTAATTAACGACGTAATATCCTTTCGAAAATATTTAACATCAAGAAAATCGATTTTAATGTCATTTTTTTTTGTACGTCTCCCAAAATATATTGTTGCAGAATAAATAACTATAAATTTACCATAATTAATTCTTATGAATAGACAAGAAATCAAAGATACATATCAATCAGAAAAATAGAATGTAATAAATATTTGTAATCTAAAAAAATAATAATAATAATAAAAAATACAGAAATATTGGAATGAATAATGCGTATTATCAGAATGATTGCAAATATTTAAAGAATTTGTCATTTTTCGTATTATTTTCGTTATCAAAGCTTATCGTTAAATTATATATACATTTGTACTCATTAATGATTTAGATTTATTCTAAGAATTTAGATTTTCATAGTAAATATTATACATATCTTGCAATTACATCATCTTTAATAATAAAACAAATAAATTGATTTAAAAAATTTATTATAATATTACACATAATTAAATATATAATATACACATAATAAAATATAATATTATATATATAATTAAATATATATAATATACACGTAATAAAATATAATATTACATATAATTAAATATATATAATATACACACGAACACACACACACACACACATAATAAAATATAATATTACACATATTAATATTAAATATTACAATAACATTAATTAGAATCAAATTGAATTATCTAAATATATTTAGATCACTTATTTTTTTCTTAATAAAAATAAAATATCAATATGCATATGTAATAAATTAGATAAAATAAATATAAATATATAAATAAATATATGATAAATAATAATAATTAGAACAATAAAAGATAAGCGTTTAAATTCATGTTTTTTGTGCAGTGTTAGGATCCGTCATCGACCAAGATAAGATGAAAGAGTCATTTCTTAGTCTCGATAGAACAGACTTACCCACACACTACTAACACACATAGTATATACTATGACGCTATGATCGTAAACGCCATTGTGTTTTAAAAAATCGTATAAAGCACGGTTTAAGAGGAGGAACACTCCCTCGCGACATTGGTTACTCGGTTACGGCGTCAGTTACTGTTGAACCATCGTAACGTGAACAACTTTCTACGAACGAGTTTAATCCCGACTCGATTCAAAACACGTAAGTAAAATAAAAAACAACAAAACACTATTAAATAATATCACAACAAATTTTACGAAGTGAATTTTTCAATCTGTCTAAAGTATAATAAATTTTAAAAATAAAAATTTCATATTAATAATAATAATAATAATATAAAATCAATGTATCATTTAAATAAATCAAATTTATTTACAAATGTGAGTATTAATGTTAACGTATATGTTTTATCAAACATCATGTATGTCACATATACAAATATTTATTCAATATCATTTGTAGTATTCGCTTGAAATAACTTCTTATATATATATATATATATATATCTTTCTCTTTCTCACTGAGGATTGATTTATAAGAAGTCAAGGAAGATGCGTCGTAAGAAATCGACTTTCGCCGGCGCATGTTTTGACGCCAGAAACCCCGTGGTGTTGTCGATTCTCTCTTTCGTTTCCGAAATAATTCTCATACTAACCCGTCGTGTACGGTTGACCTGGTTTTGTTACTCTTTCCTTTGAAATATAAATTGGGTCCGATCAAAAGATGCAAAGTGTAAACCCTGTTCTATATATGAGAACACGCCTATCATATTTAGCATGTGATGTATTAATAAAATAAACTAATCAAAATGTTTTTAAACATTAAATCGAGGAAAAAAATATTAACTTAAAATTTGTTGATTAATTATTCTTATGAAATTTTTTTAATAATATAATAATAATTAAAATTAATAATAAATTTTGTAATATATTTAAAATTAAATATTAAATTAATTAAACTTAAAAAAAAAAATTAAACTTAAATATTTAAGATTAAGTATTAAAAATTTAAATTTAAATTTAAATTTAATATTAATAAATTAATTTTAATAATAATTTATTATTTTATTAATTTTAAATTAATTAAGTATTAAATTTAAAATAAAAATTATTATTAACGGCATACTTGTTTTTTTTTTTTTTTTTTTTTTTAACTATACGTGACAATACTTCAATGTTATCGGTTAGAAATGACTCAAAAGATGATACTTGCAATTATCTGTACGTCACTTGAATCGATGCAAAGTAAACATCAAGAATTGTTTAGTTTTATCAAACACGTACATTTTCTAACGACACGTGCCAATATAATATATGCATATGCATAGAATTTCACAAGAACTCTCTATTGTGAATATATATAATTCGTTTTTAAAAAAAATAATTAATTTTTTTATTTCAAAAGCAAGTTAACTTGATTGATATTAATCCAATCTCAAAGAAATACATGCACACATATGTATATTTAACTAATTTATTAAAAATTGAATAATAGTATAATTATTTGATAAAGTAATAGTGTGTAGATTCGTTGGGAGTGGTCAATTAAATAAAAGTCACGTCACATTCAATTTTTAAATATAAACTGCTCTGTCATTTGTTACTTCCTCAATTCTCCTAGCAAATCTCACTCTCTCTCTCTCTCTCTCTCTTTCTCTCTCTTTTGATCAAAAATACAAGATGTGGTTAGAATCATAGAAAGTTATTTTTTATAGAAGAATTAATTTCTACTTCAAATAAAAAAAAAATAAAAAATAGAAAGAAAGCATTATATTTCACTTTATATCTTAGGAATTTCTTGTATACAATATTTTCTATTATTTTATTGATATTATTAATAATGTTATTATATTATTATTAAAACTCTAATTTCTTATTATTATAAATAATATAATAATTAATTAGATATGATTATTATTATAATCATAGAGAATTTTTATTATATTATAATATAAATATATATTATAATACATATTTATATATCAAATATTCTATGATTATAATTATAATAATAAATAATAATTAATTTTTTATTTATATTTAAATAAATTTAATAAAATTTTTTATACTTATTATTTTATAAATTTTAAATATTCATATTAGTAATTTTTTAATTACAATAATTAATAATTATATTCTATGATTATTATTTCTAATGTTATGAAAAATAATACAATCAAAAATTGTCCAAAACTATGGAATATTTGTCAGTTCTAAAACATAATTATCTATTGTTAAAAAAAAAGCACTGCTTATGACCTTGAGCTGCCCACATTTCGGTACTCTTTCTCTTCGTGATCCTTCGTTTTTTATACTACTATATTCAAGGTTACACGAGCAGGTATAACCACCTAAAGGATCAGCCTCGAATATACTGATTTTGCGTCGTTCGATAATTTTTTAAAAGAAACAAAAATAGAAATACGAAAGAATAGTCCGATTTAATTCAATTGACCTAATTACACGCATATATATAAATAGGGTGGAACATTAATTTTATCTACGTAAATTATAATATATATATGAATTATTTTGAATGATATTACAAAATTTGTTATACACAGTTGTACGATATAAAAAAAGAAGAAGAAGAAAAAAAATGTGAATTAACGTGAACTACTTTTTTTTTCTAGATATGAAAACGTAGAAATAATTACGAGGTCATTTTCATTTTTTTTTTTCTTAAATAGAACAGTATATTATCGTTAACATAGTATGACAGATTAGAGAAAAATTCTAAGAAATATCATTTTGTTAACTTTGACATAACCTCAAACGAAAAAGAAAAAAAAAATAATAAAAAGCATATTTTAATTGAATAATTGTAAAAAATCAAACACACACTCCTATTAAAAAAAAATTATATTATCCTGTTTTTCATATTGTACACACACACACACACACACAACTTTCGTATAGAATATTTTTCAACGTAATAAAAAAAAAAAATAATAGAAATAATTTTAATAGACAAATTTAATGATTAAACCTGCATATGAAGAAACTTCAATTACTTAAAAAAAAAAAAAAGAGAGAGAGAGAAAGAGAGAAAAATAGAGAAAATAAAAACACCTTATTTCCATGGAAAAATTTAATGCGTTTAATTAGATGCACACATGCATTGGAGTCAGATTTTATTGGACGAATCTGGTTTTAATAACCCAGCATTTAATTAAAAAAGTTAACATTCCTTTAATGCACGGTCTCTGAAGGAATATTATGTTCCTTCCTTCCTTTTTTTCTGTTTTTTTCTTTTGCTTTTTTGAATAATCGGATTCAATAATTAACTAGCATGTTGCTAATCACGTTAACAAAGTTAAAATAGTTATATTCATACATAACAATGAATAACCTGATTTTCAAGAATTCTTCTTTTAAAAAAAAAAAATCAGACAAACTGTTATTTTATTATTTCATTTGAAATATTTCACATTGGATTGAATTATGTATTACAAATTTTCTCTATTTTTCGATATATACAAAAAAACAAAAATAAATTCTTGAATATCAATATTGATATTATATATAGTAGAATAATATTTAAAGATGACCTAAATAAAAATGAACGGTGTTTTATACGATTTATTCGTGATTCGCATTGATTACTTGTATTCATCGAGTATAACACATACGATTATCTGCTTTTCAAACTCGTACTAAATATAAAACATTCGTTATTTCACGCAATAGAAAAAATGATTTATAAGAAAACTTTTTGTAAACAATTCTCTCATTGGATCACATATAAAAAGAAACATTGTTCAGTATTCATATTAAAATCAATATATAAAACGATTATCTTGTCATCATCAATTGTAAAAAAAAAATATAATAATCAATATAATAAATTATTTGTAAATTATTTTAATTATTATTTATTATTATATTACATCAATATAATAATATAACATAATATGATGTATATAATGTATAATCTAATATATAAATAATATATAAAATTAAATATTATTACATTATGTTAATTATTATTAATAATAAGGTATTATTTAAATATAAAATAACTTTATATTACGATTACTGTAAAAATAAAAAAATAATTCGGTATAAATTTTTAAATTAAATATTATTTTTAAATTATATTAATTATTAATTTTAATTATATTATGACAATATAATAATATAACACAATATATATTCAATTTTATATAATACTATTAATATAACACACACACACACATAATAATATATAATAATAAAAAATAAAATATTATATAATAATATTATTATATATTATATACATATATAATTTAATATTATTATTATAATTTAATTAATAATAATATATATATATATATATATATATATATATATATATATATA